CCGTCTACCTCTCTCCTCCGTGCTACGTGCTTTATACAGAGAGGCGGCAGACCTCTTCGTCCGTCGACTTTCCTCTTCCTCGGTCGACTGCACGGGCACCTACCCAACCGACCACCAACCTGCCTTGCCTTGCTTGCCTGCCCGCCTGCCTCCTATACGTATCCCAGAGCCGTAATTGAAAATTGATTTACGCGGTCCAGGCTGTCAGTCGCCCGGGTAAAGATGAGAGGAGCCTCCATCCGGTTTCGTGAGGGTAGTTGCTGCCGCCGCGGCGTATAGAGAAGGGAGACAGAGAGGAACGAGGATGAGGATGTCGAAGCTGGAAGGTAAAACCAGGGAGAAAGAGGGGGAGGCAGCAGGAGGCAGTGAAGAGACGCCGCCGCTGGAAGAGCAACACTACTACCGTTGCGGAGGGACTTAGGAGGAGGTCGGTTGCGGTTGACGTGGAAGGGCGAAGAGGAGATCGGGCGGGCTGGTGGGGTAAGGCGCGGGTGGTAGGGAACGACACGGAGGGAAACAAAAACCAGACTTCAACACGCCATCGCACCCTTACGGTATAACGTCACTTGCAGAATATAATCAGGATTTGTAGCGAAGCGTGGAGTCGTGCCGCGCGGTCGGTACCGTCTCGCAGGCGGGAGAAGAGGCGGTCGGTTTCGAGAGAAGGACGAAAGGTACGCTCTGACGACGATGAGGGGGACGAGGGGGAGTGTGGGGGGACGGGTGGGAAAGGCCAGGGGTGGTGGAGAATCGGCGTGAGAGAGAGAGAGAGAGAAAGAGAGAGAGAGAGAGAGAGCGGAGGCGCGGGTGAGACGCCCGAGCGTTATTAAGGCGCGACAAGAACTTCGGCGTGATGAGCGAACCGCCGCGCCAGAAGATACCGCCCGTGATTTATGCGACAGCGACATCCAACCAGCGAGCACATCGCCGAACCCCAGAAACGATTCTCCGCGTATCGTCTCGTGACCAGTCGCCCGCCGGCCGATATCGCGAGGCCGATCTCCAAACATCATTGCGGCGTTGAAATCGGGGGAAATTTACGTTCCCAACGTCGAAACTTTTCTCCACGCGGAAGGAACGAACGCGGAAACTGGTCTTGGTAGTTTATTTGGGCAAATTGGACCGTATGTTTAAAAACTACCTGGACGATCTTATTCTACTTTAATTTTAGAGATTCTGCTCTTCTCTTAAATGCATATGTAACCTTTTTTTTTTTAAGCAATGTAGTCTCGCAAATAACATTTTACTTAGGTATTGAGATACCATGGCGACAGATTCTGTAAGAAAGTAGAATAGAAATTAATTGCGTAGATCAAAAACTCGAATGTAGAAGTAATATTCTACACGCGTGTCAAACGGAAGCCGGCATTGTGTTTTTTTTTTTCAAAAACGCTACAGCCTCCGCCGGTCTCGAAGGAAGGCGATTGCACGCGGCGCGTAATCCCGTGGCACGATTCACACGCGCGGCGCGCCGTGACGCGTGAAAAATCACCAGCTGATTTGGCCGCACGATGGATGATTAGTTGCCGGCCGTACGTCAATGTACGACATTATTTATTGGCAGCAGCTGACATTCAGACGCGCGCTACCCTCCATGATGTTCTCTCTCTTTCTGCACCTCTCTCGCTCGGCTTCCACCCCCAAGGGATCGTTTCTCCCGACGCTTCTCCACACCGTTGCTCTCTCTCTTTCTCCCCACCCGTTGTCTATCTTTCTTTCATCTCACTCTTCACTCTCGCACACGTCTTTTTTCCATTGAGCTGATGGTACACTACGTCTCCCGTCTCCTTTCACTTCTCCGCTCGCGCCCTAACTTTCTCATTCCGTCTCTCTTCCCCGTTGTCACCAATAAGTCAAAGTTATCCCCGGCAGAGAAAAATGCCAGGCGTTTCCCAGAGCAGAGAAAGGCCGGCTTTCTCGCGTGATTTGTGGCGACCGTTCGCTCAACTCGCAGCGCCAATGAGTCGGTCAGTCGTAAATATCCTGGCGGGACCCACGGACCGGTGGATGGACGCACCGACAGGGCCAAGAAGGTGCTGCCTTTCGTACGATCGTTCCGATATCGCGATACGTTGAAATTCGCTCGAAGGCGAGTCTTTTATATCTTTCCTCTTATTCTCGTTAAAGATATCTGCAAAACTCACGAGCTCACTAAATACGCATGGATAATGGTTCGTTGAAAATAGAATAATTGCTATTGATTTCTGTAAATATACCGGAAAAGCTTGTGAAATTTTTAATATTCGTTATTATCCATAACACACATTATGGAAATGCAATTCAAATTTAACTTTGTAGCGAGACAAAACTACAGCTTGACAATTGTAACATTCAAGATACGGATTAGATTCGAATTCGAAATATACGATCAAACAACGCTTTATGTTGTGATAAAAATAATCATGTGTTTTTTTTGTAAGGAAACGTGAGATTCACAATTTATATAAAAATTTCAAAAATTCTATTTTTGTGAGAAAAGAGTTTAAGATCGTTGATTTCCTTGCACACACTAATATATTTTATTGTTTTACAATGATCAGCGAGTTGCAGGAGCACCTAACAGTAATGCGCCATCGTAAGAAATGTCTGAGGATCGATATTAAGATCGATAGGACTCTTGCAGCTCGCTGTTCTACGTGCCTACGACGTTCTGGAATTACTGTCGGGCGAGGGTACGTAGTTTCCGGTACTATCTTACCGAAGACAGATAAGATACTTCCCTGGTAACTGGGAATTATACGTTAGGGCGGTTTCGAACGGTCGTCGTTCCAGCAGGCACGATCCAACTTCCGCAAAGCTGGTCGAAGGAAGGGAACCTGAGTGGTACTTAACGAAGAATAATTGGATAGCGATAAATACAAAATAATTAATCCCTATTAACAGCGCCATCAAGTGTCCGCGGAAAGGACGTATAATTTAATGTATATATACCAGTAATAGAATATTTATGTAACGTTGTTTACAGAATTAGTACGAAAATAATATAGGTAAAATTGTATAGCTGGGTTACACAGTGAACTTTCTTTTAATTCCGAAAAAATTGAAAACTAATAAATAAAGTAAAAAAAATAAATGTCTGTAAACTACTAACAATATAATCACTTACAGAAATAATAAATAAATGTAAATAAATTACATAAACTTGATTAAGATAACTGTGACAGAGAAACAGCCATGAATACCTTGCCGTATTTATAAATGGCAACATATGCAGAATGTATATGGCAATCAGGTGGGAACAGGGTTGAAACATGTTGGTAACGAAGTATCGAAGAGGAGGAGAAGGATAGATGCTTGAATTGCCGATCAAATTCACGATCCTTTCTCTACCCACCCACTTCGACAGTGCAGCTTAGTCGAGAGCTCCACCCCTCCCTTAAATCACTCATTCTTTAATAATAGACAGATCCCATTATAATACCTGAGATTTATATCCATGGCCCCCTTTTCTTTTGAGCGATAAATTTCATAGCTTTTTTTTTTAATCTTTCTTTTTCTGCGGATTAGCCGACTACTCGGGTATGATCAGTTCGTCTAATGAAGGCATTGCGAACTGGAGATATCGTTGCATTATCTTCAACAGTATAAAATTTCATTACTTATACTCGATGTTAATTAAATGTTATAAATCGCGTGCATTAAATAAACACGCATTGTTAAGTTTTTGCACCTAAAATATTCATCTCTTTGTAAATTTAGATAAAATAGAATGCTTGATCTTTGCGTATGTTTCGTAGTTATAATCCTCTGGTAGTTGCGAAAAATTAAAAAGGGATTATGGCGCGTTCTAGTGAAACAAGACTCGATGCAGAAACATAACTGGGTTACCGCAGGAGACACTTAAACCGTGTTCTCGTGGCAGATTCCGTGGCAGATGAAAGAAAGAGAGAGAGAGAGAGAGAGAAGGAAAGGGAGTGAGAGGCGGAAAGACTATGATGGAGTACAACGGAAAGGACGAAAGAGGAAAGCGAGGAGAAATTGAGAAAGAGAGAGGGACGGAACAGAAAAGAGAGGTTTCGTTAAGTCGCGCCGACGTCGCATGTGCACGGCCAGGGCGAACCGGACCTATAAATATTGTCGAAACGCGTCAAATAAATCTGAAGCTTTCCCATGTTGCAAGACAAAAAGGAGCAGGGTAAGCGATGGTCTGATGGCCGCTGCAAGGGTGACCCCTATTTATTGCCGAATTAAAGCGCGTCACCATTAATTTGCATACCGTGTGCGCGAGCGCGGAGGAGCGTCAACATGCGTCTGGCATTCCACGTCGTTTGACGAATCTCGCGATCTCGGCGTCGCGCTTCATAATTACGCGCCCGTTAATTCGTCGTGGCTCCGTCGCCGTCGCCTCGCTGCACGCTAGCACGAAAGCGAACGTTTTGTTGCTCCTGGCCTCTTCCAGTCATCTTTTATCAAACGGTTCTGAATCTAATTTTATATCGCGAGACAAGACACACACGGAACTCGTATCGAGGTAACGATAAACGTTCATTCTTCCCATCATCGTCACACGTTACGCGTGAATTTAAGCGCTTAGTTTCTCCATGTACGAACTGAATTCGGGAGATTTTAAAAAGCCACTAGAAATTTTGTATGGTACAAAATATTATTGTTCTTACTAATTTTGAGGAACAGAAAGAGAAACCGTTCTTGCGTTTTCGAGGTCTTGCGGTTCTTGAAGATTCACAGAAGCGTCTTATTCGGCGTGTCTCTTAATGTCAAAACATCGGGAGACAGAACTTTTTCCAATATTTTCGAGTTTAATTGCGGAAAAGAGTCGCGTGCCTCTCTCGCAGCCTCTCGACTAATTGCTCGAAACAATTAAACCCGAGAATCGAATTCGCTCTTCTTGCGTCTTACTCCCCTCTCCCCTCTTGTTTGCCGAGCGCGACCCTTCCGCGTTTGTTTTCTAGAAACCGAAAACCGTTGCACGAGGAATCGTGACGCGCGGGACGAGCCGGTGTTGGTGTCTCGGGGTGCGAGCGGCTCGATCCACGCCATAAATTAGCAATTATTTAATTTTCGTAGGGCCCGGGGTCCTTAGACGGCTCTAAATCAGTCTCCGTTGCAAAAAGCATAGATAACTATGACGCATGGCTCCCGGGAAGAGACAGGGGTGCGCTCACCGGATTGTGGCGGTGGTGACTTGGTCCGGGCTGGGGGGAGGGAGGGGGAAGTGAGTAGGGTAGATGACGGGGGTAAGCGGAGAGGACTCAGGAACGGCGAGCTATCACGCTCCGGTGGTGCAGTGGCAGGAGGAAAAAGGGGGTGCGACAGGATCGTCGAGGATCTCTCGTCGGTGGGGGTCCGCTCCACGATAACTGTTAGTTTCGCGGTGCCGTCGTGGCAGCAAGCGATGCGACGTTCCCCGTTCCCGCTTCTGTTCCTCATGACGACGAAGGACCGACGTCGTTGCTGGTTCGCTGCTGTCGCTGCTCTGGCTGGCTGGCTGGCTGGCTGGTTGCACGATAGCTGGTGGTGGGCGCACACTGCCACCGTTGCTCCCAGTTCGCCGCTGTGTATGTAAATGTGGACGAGAGCAGGATAGAGAGAGAAAGACAGAGAGAGTGAGAGGGCAGGAGAGAGACGAAGCGGGCGAACGAGCACACGGAGCTGGGCACAATGGCAACTAGTTTTAATTACAAAGTAAGGTGAAGCGATCAATCATAATGATGTACGTGAG